TGAACCTGGCAGCTCAGTGTCTCAAACACAGAGGATGGAAAAAGAGATGGGGACGGGGAGGAGACGAAGGTGTGGACAGGAATCTTTCCCCAGATCAACTTTCAGAGCTGCTGCTACTTTTGGTCTGACTGAACCGAGCAAAAATCATCAGAGGAAGGAGATGAATCACTGTGCTGGACTGAAAGTTGCAGATCATGTTGTTCACACCTGGAGTTTGCAGAGCTTTTCTGAATAAATGATTCCATCTTCAAGCAGTTGATTCCTGCTATAGAGATCCAAAAATATTGAGTTCTGACTGTTATTATGTTCCATTGTTCCAGCAAAAACATCCTGAGGTGTCCAACAGAACCTGGCCTGTAAAGGACTGTAGACAGACCAATCCAGTAGCTTTACCCTGGTCCTACTCAGCCTGGCCTTTGGGATGTGCTTCTTCAAAATCAGGTCCTGAAGGCAAAGGAAGGTCTTCTTAATATCTACCAGACTTCTACCAAGTCTATGGTAACATCTACCAATGTTACCATCAGGGTAGAAAAGATGATCCAACCTCCTACCACAGCAGAACCTTGCTGCATGACTGGCTGCTGACAGGCTGGATGCTCCTTTCCCCCTGGAAGATCGGAAGAGCTGATCCATCTGATCGGGGTCCCTGCTGCCACTGTTTGATGGTCTATCTGATCCCAGGTCTGCGATGGTTGTTACTAAACTGGTCTATTTTCTTTAGGGAAGCTGCCCTCATAGAAAGATGATAACAGCTGTCTGTCTAGCAGCACTCACACAGGCATCTTTAAGATTAGAGGGCATGATAGACAGTGATGGGAGTAACGGCGTTGAAAGTAACGGCTTTATTAAACCATTACCTTTTTTAGTAACAAGTAATAATTACTTTGACTGTAACTATAAAGCAGTTACCATTGCCGACTACCCGTTACAGCGCGTTACTCAGGTCGCACAAGTAGCCTTTTTTTCATGATAGGACTCGTGCGCGCCTTGTCATGAGAGAGGGGAGGATGAGATTGGCTGATGTATAGTGAGATTCCGTCTGTCAGTTGGGAAGGTGGGTGTTTCCGCTGGTGGGTGTTAACGTACAGCACACACAGAGAGATGAAGAGTGAGGAGGACTCCAGCAGCAAAACAGCGTTTTCCACATGGAAATACCGGTGTTACGTCGAGCTGCGTTTCCCCATCAGATACGGTTTCCCCTGCATCTACACACAGCGCAGGCGGCACGAGTCACCGCGCAAGCGACAGGAAACGCGCATGCTCGCTAAAGGCGCGCAACAGTCGCCCTGTGCTCGCGCCACAGTCGAACGGAGAGCGTGAACGATCAAATGTTAGCCTATATGGAGAAAGGGAGAAATCGGGATGGATAGATAGATAGATTGATAGATAGATGTTGCAGTATCTATTACAACCCAAAAACACAGGATGTCAGAATTAGACATCCCCAGTTATTAATTTCATACACTCGTCAGATCTGAGCATCCTGTTAAAAAACTGCACACCCAATGACTAGAGGTAATGGAGCCTGATGATATTTACACCGCATCAGATACCGTTCCCCAATGTTAACAAGAGGGGAACGCTATGTGACGGGGTTTAGAAGCCAATCAGATACCGTTCCCCCCTGATGTCATTTACGTTGAGTTGCAATAAATGCAAAACTCTCTGCAGGTTCTTGTCTTTGTCGTCCACTCCATTCAGCTGGCTTTGGAAACACACGGCGAGAAGGTGGGGGCCGGGTGATGAAGGTTACGGGGGCGAGAAATGCAAAAGTAACGCAATAGTTACTTTTACTAGTAACTAGTTACTTTTATTGTGGTGTAACTCAGTTGGTAACTCAGTTACTTTTTGGGAGAAGTAACTAGTAACTACGTATAACTAATTAGACAGACATTTGAATTGAGAAAGCTTCCTGGAGAGGTAGCGAAACGTCTTCAAATCTTGAAAACCAAGTCCAGTGGATTGTTTTTTTAAACTTTTACGGTATAACTGATTACTTTTTCAAAGTAACGTCCCCAACACTGAACATAGATGGAGGCCTACCATGTACATTTACTAACAGAGCATCAACATAAAGCAGCATATTAGGACATGCTGGTGGCCAGACAGGGCCTTGGAGTTAAGCAGAGGTCTTCTGACTTTCAGGCTCAGAGCAGAGTTGCTGATCCTCCCCATTGAAATGAGTCAGCTGAGGCAGTTCTTGTGATCAGGCAGCTCTACAAACTATGGAGAATCTTCTTTGAATGGATTCATTTCTAAAGCATCACTAAACATCTCAAACCTTTAGAGCTCCAGATTTCTCCCTTTAGTCCTCAAAGCCAATTTATTTCCTAATCAAAATTATCTTAGCTGAGTGGAGCCTCTTTCTGATGCTCTAACATCATTTTAATATTGAATGGATGATATTGTTTTAGTGGGAGAAAGTTCCTGTTTTCACTCTATGAATGAGGCTGAATAAACTCAGCAGCTATAAAACTGTTCTTCCCTTCATAACACAATTTAGCTGCCTCTGCTGTTTGTTACAGGATTTACTGAAGGACAAAGACAGCTTTAGCTATAGAATACAAACAAAGCAGCAGATCAACCATCCGCCGACCTGCATGTCACCTTTTCATGTCTGCACCACAGCAACAGCAGCCTGCTGAGATGTGAGCTGGATGACGCTGTTAGCCGGGGTCTTTCAGGAGGGCAACCTGCTTGTTGACCTCTACAGTTCTCACCTTCCACTTCGTCTTTACACCCTCTTCTCACCGAATGGGAGCCAGTCTGGTGTCTCTCTGGCTGGAGGAGCCGCGGGATACCGAGAGCAAAGATACCCTCTGAAATGCAGCAGCAGCATATGCTCTCAACAACAAGCAACACAAAAAAGGAGGGGGGAGTTTAATTTTACCCAAAATCCTCATCTGTAAACACTGAGGCGATGAAGGTTTTTGTAGAACCTTTGGTTTAAAAAGTGTTGCATGTGATGAGAGATGCAGCTACAGCAGAGAATCCTCTCATCTCCTGCAGATCTTTTAATATTCAAGCTGTTTCTTAGCATTTTTCAGAAACTCACACGCTTCCTTTAAACTCGTGAACACAACTGTGCAGCAACTCTCTGCTTGGTGTTAGAAGCCACTCTATATAGAGACTCTGCTGCTGAAGGTAAAGCTGCATGGATACAGAAGACATGCCAGGATGCTTCAGGAGATTACTTCCTTTTAAAGGTTAAAAAGTCATAGAATAGTTTGTCTTTTGGTCTTTGCTTCACATTTTCCTCATTGTATCTGTAAAAAGGTTAGAAGTGTTGAGTTTCTCTGTGATGCCCTGGAGAAGCTCCAGCTTCCTCCAAAAACTTCCTGCCTCCTACTGAGTTAGAGCCAACCCACACATATAGCCGACCTGCAGCACATTTCTTCTTTGTTCGTCTGTCTGCTCATCTGTAGCGCTGTGAAATGTCACCTCGTTCAATATGTGCTGATTGAGTTAAAGGTTAAAACAGAGCTTGGTCTAAATAAGAGCTGCGGTGGAGCCTGTCAAAAAAAATATTTAAACACTGACCTAAATTAATTCCTCATCCTCAGTGGAAATGTCAACATTAAAAATCAAACTTTTGTGTCGGTAGTTCAATAAAAAAACCCGTCCATGTGTGCTTCCTGCAGACGCAGCAGTGCTGACAGAGGCGGAATAATCATGACCCATAATCAGCATCAAAAGAGTCGTGTGCCTTTTAGTTTCCCAGCAAATCCGGAGTGGATGTTCCCACTGCTGATTGGGTTTCTCAGCAGTTGTGCTTATTCAGGAGGCAGGGAACGTTGGCGGAGAAGCAGAGATAAGAGCGTGTCAGAAAGAACACGACAGGAGAAATGAGAAAGGAGCCGATTAACCGGCTCATGACCTCCAATTAATTTGATATTCAATAGAGAGAAAAAAAATGTCTGAATCGACTCAGCGGAGAAAATTCTCTGTGTCATTCAGAGTCTAATCCTCAGGTTTCCAAACTACTGACACAGGGCTGATCTGCATACCTAAGGTTGAAAAAGCCCTGCTGTCTGTTGCTCCACAGGGTCTGTTCTGGGAACACAGTATTTAGTAAATTTTTCCGAAAAACAATTTTAGAGAACAAAACCAAAATTTTAACATACATGAGATCAAGAGAGGGGTGAATGTATGGATCGATAGTTTTTCCTCTCCACTGTCACTACAAGCATACTCAGTCTGAGGGATTGCATTGGAGTCAATGAGTCGTGCAATCAACTGGTTTTCCTTAGATAGAAAACTTTGAATCAATTTGGCTGTATGATCTGGTGAACAGTAAAGTGCCTTGAGATGACCTGTTTGGTGCTATATAAAAAAACTGAATTGAATCGATAGATGGATTAATGGACGGATGATGATGGATGGATGGATGATGCTAAATGGCCTGTACTTGACCAAAATGCTTTACACTATATTTAGGTTTTCACCCACATACTCACATACTGATGGTGGCAAACTACATTGTAGCCACAGCTGGCCTGGGGCGAACTGACAGAAGCGAGGCTACCGCACACTGGCGCCATCGGGCCCTCTAACAGCTATCAGTAGCCAATATAGATGGAGTACCTTGCCCAAGGACACAACGACACTTAAAACTGGATCTTGAACCGACAACCATCCGATTGCAGGGCAAACTCCTACATCAGACACCACTGTCGCCCTATGATGATGATGGATAAATGGATAAATGGATGGATGGATGGATGGATGGATGGATGGATGATTGATGGATAAATGGATGGATGGATGGATGGATGGATGGATGGATGGATGGATGGATGGATGGATGGATGGATGGATGGATGGATGGATGGATGGATGGATGGATNGGATGGATGGATGGATGGATGGATGGATGGATGGATGGATGGATGGATGGATGGATGGATGGATGGATGGATGGATGGATGGATGGATGGATGTATGGACGGATAGTTTGATAGATGAATGCATGGACAGATGAATAATGGGAATAAACTCACCATTGATGGTGGCCCTCTTGGGCAGGATGGTGATGGCTCCGACAGCAGCCTCCTCCAGCTGGTGGATGGGACTGTTCTTGGCCCCCCAGCTGTCAGAGCCTATCCACAGGAAGTGACCCACCTGATCCGCTCGCTTCGTGGCGTTCAGAATTCCCCTGCAGCCAAAAAAAACCCCCCAGTTTGATTACAACCTAAGGAACTCCTCTAACTCATAACTAAGTTTCTACAGAAGCCTGGAAGGCCAGTGGCATGTTTAAGTTTCTTCAAACATTTATCTATTTATTTTTTTTTTAACTCAATGTTGCTGAGTAAAAAACAGAGAAATAAATCATATCCAGCGTACTTATATATTTCTCATACAAACAAAGCAATAAAAGGCGAAATAAATGAACTGGGGAATAGCACAAAGGGATGATTAAAAATAGTATTGATTTTTGTCTGATCAATAAGTAGCATTTATTGTGACGTGAAATCACATGGTCCAACTACCTGATGTCTTCATCAGAGGCGAACAGGACCACAGCTCTGGCGTAGCGGGTATCCAGCAGCTGACGGATGATTTTATCGAAGTCTGAAGGTTTGCGGTCGTGAGGGATCTTCAGTGACTGAGCAATGCAGATTCCACCTGAGGAGATAAAAACACCATTTATAAAACATATTGTTGAACTCCGGTGGGAGAAAGTCAAGCAATAAGCTATAACCGTGCAGCAAAATTCAAGAAAGGTTTAGGTTTAGTTTTTTCAAAAGGTGCATTAAAAGTCACCAAAGAGGTAAAAAGAAGAAACGTAGCAGAAGAACCCTGCTCTGCCTCTGCTCTTTGACATTTCATGAAACTCCTACGTCTGCCTGTCTCTGCAGTCTTCTTTACTCTGAGATGCTGCACCTTCCAAGAAATGTCACTCAGCCAAGCTACTGCAGTGAGTTGGTTGATTTAAGAAGACAAGCCCTGTTTAAGGTTAAAGGGGAGGACGAATATGGGAGTTGAGATGATCAGATCCGTTGAAGGGAAAGGGACACCATGAGCTTGGAAACTTCCCAAACCAGTTCCTGCTTGGTGAATGTCTCTGTGGCTAAAGGCAGTGCTTTTAGAAGTTGGCAAGCAGTTAAAGAGCTGCTGCAACTCTTTGAAATGAAACAACAACAAAGGCGTCATTTTATACAACAGAAAGCTTTACAAAAATCCTTCAAGATACAAAGGCTGGTTCTACCAAACAATCAAACATAAATGTCTTAATAGAAAGTTTGTAATCTATATGAACGACAGAGGGTTTTACTGCTTAACCCAACTTAACTCTAAGTAATCAAATTAAATCAAATTAATCAAGTAATCAAATTTATTTTGTGAGGCACAAAATAAATAGTGGGATGGTCAAAAAAACATTTGCACTCCATCCCTATGAGGGGAATTTACAGGAACAAACTTCATTTGCACCTCTAACCATCACAGAACCCATCAAAAGAAAGAACGAAAGGAAATACATGCCCAGACCTTCTCTTCTCAATAATATGCAGATGATCTATCCATAGCTTCCTCTACCTGGGTCCTGTTTTCTGCTTCATTATTGAACCCAATCAAAGCAATATAAGAAACTTTTAAAGTGATGATGTTTTACTCCACTGGCTAACTGGAACAACTAATGCCAGAAATTCCCCTCTGTGAGTCACAGCCCTACGGTTGCAGTGATTAGTCCACACAATCATCAATGTGGAATTTTCGTAGAAAAATATCAAGCTGACATATGCTGAAATGCTTCAAGCTTTGTGTGGATCTTTTTTTTCCTGTAGATTCACCTCCACCAGCCGCAGATCTAAACTAAGGAAAAGACTTTAATTCTCTCTTTTTTTTTTTTTTTTGCTAGTAGGGAACAAAGCATTTTCTGGATGTTGCTCTGTGTTATTTACTGAAAAGGTAGAACATTTTATCATCAAATTCAAGGAACTGGTAAGTCTGATTCATTATTATTGATAGACCACCTGTACTAATGAGCTACTGTGGCATTTCTGGAGAATGAACTCTGGATACCCCTCATCAGTCAGAGAATAGGAGCTCCAACTAGCAGCTGAGCAAACATTCACAGATATGTGCGTCAATCGGCAAATATTTAAAGGAAAAGTCCGGTCAGCAAGGAATAATCAGTGGATCATCATTTATACCTAAAATTAATAAGTTTGCGGTGATTTAAACATTTTAGCATTAATCTGTAACAAAAATAAAAACAATAATTTTCACCACGATCACTGAGTCCGGGACCAGCTATTTTTGCAAAAATATAGTAACACCTCACTCCTGACATCTTCCAGCAGTCATGTCATGTTGCGGTAAGCCTAGCGCCATTCTCCCCGCTTTACAAGCGACACATCTGCAATCAAGAACAATTATTTAAGATTTCGAGAGGCCTTCACCATTGAAATACGCGAGAGCTATAGTTGAACTGACAATGCCCACGTGCATGGCAGTTGGATGTTGTAATACATCGGGTAAAAGTGAACAAAAAGTTAGTTATTTCACCGTTCCCATTCACAATCCTACACGAACAGGTTCGTCGTCGGATTGCCAACATTGCGGTGGGAGGATTTGCCATCGAACTTCTTGACAGGGAAAAAACACGAAATATGTAGCCAACATTTCCAAGAAGAATGTTTTCAAGATGACTTGGATAATAGTGCGTTGTGAAAAACACCAGATACAGCACTGGGACTTGATCAACAGCCGATACCGCACCGTGACGTCACAAACCGGTAGGTTCTGTAAAACATGTATGTCTCCAGTAAAACAAATTCAAATGAAAATCACTCTTAATTAAAAACTCTTATCATTTATTGAACACTATGTAATAATTTCCTATTTAAAGTACTTTCAGAAGGTTGAATTCTGAGTATGACCGGACTTTTCCTTTTAAACAAGGGAATAGATAAGAACGGCAGATAAAACCTCCTTTGAACCACGCAGGAAGCAGGCATCATCTGAGGTTCATCAGTTCTGACCAACATCACTTCTGACTCTACGACTGGGATGATAAAAGCACTGGGATCATGTGGGAACCAGCATGGAGTGCAGAGAAACAGCTGTGGGTTGTCATGGCAACCCATAATGGGAAGCTGGTAAACATAACCATGGCTGGCCCTGAATATAAGAGGTCATCATGTCGTTCATTCCAGCTGTTAATGGTTAAGTTGAACTTGTGGAAAAATAAAACAGAACCAGAGGGAGCGAGCTGCGATCATGGGTTACATGTCGGTATTTACGTCTCATTTCCTTCACATCTGACTCCAGCTCCAACAACAAACTGCTGTCAACTTGTCCATGCAGACCTGTGCACCATCTCGCACTCCTCATCTGATATTCAGCTCCAGCGCTCTGCATCAAATATGAGGCGAGGCTGAGCAGATCTGCGCTCTGTCAACAAATGAATTAAACATCAGGCACTGCAGCGGCCAGCTCCACGCTGCCCCCCCGTCACATCTCATATTTACAGCATCCACAGCACGCAGCAATTTCCAGCATCAGGACCACATTACCTTCACGATGTAGGACAAGAGCAGAGAGCCGGATCAGGACTCAGGCTGCAGGATTCCAAATGACGGACGTTTAGAAAAGTCTGCCTCAGCAGTTTGGTTTAAGTGGAGACGTTCCTCGGGTCTTTGCTCTGTTAGATTAAGTTGTGAGAAACCTTGCCTTTTCCCTTTCTTTAGTTCTGGTTCTCTAATCTGGACCAGGACTAGATCTGGTATCAGGCTCTTTGAATTATTCTGGTTTCAGTAATTTTACACCTTCCTGTCACCAGAAACCTCGATTGAACATCAAGACATCCTGGAATATTCCCTATGGATGAAACCGACCTCCACTGGATTTGTCCCCCTGTTCCTCCACCTAACCTACTGTAAAAAGATAGAAAGCAACAATCAAAACATTATGTTGTGTGATATCTGCGTATCTGGTTACCATGGAGATGGATCCCACAGCAGATAAAGGTGATGCACCTCAGATACTCTGAGATTTTTTTTAGCTAAACCAGAGTTTTCCAACTTCGAGTCCTATAGAGCTGTTTTTTTAAAAATCTCCTGTTCCAACACCTGAATGAATTGGCTGTATTTGCGTCGCAACATGCAGACGGGTTCTACAGAGATCTGCTAATAACCTTATTGAAACACAAAAACAACCCTTAGGGGATAAAGTTTCAGACTCCTGATATAAACATTCAAAATAAAAAAAAGTAGAAGGACCATCAGCCAGCCTGAGTTAGTGTCAGCAGTGTTTCCATGGTTACGGCTGGTCCATTTAATCCATTAATCACCATATTTCAGCCAACCGCTCACACCAACTGCCGCGGTTTCAGACCATCAGTGTAACAGTTGTACAGTCGGGGGCAGCGCTGCAATCATTCTCTGAACCTAAATGATGAAGAGCTCTTCAGGCGGAGCGGCTCTCTGGAGCCAAGAGGTTTAAAGTGCTGAGCACAAACTGCAGCTGATCAATGACGGCGTTAAAATAACCACTTTCAGACCTCAGACTGAACTTACTGCTGCCTGGTTTTTAGATACAGGGGCTCAACCCCAGAAACTGAAGGAGCAACTGTGCTCTGTTGAATTCTGGCAGCAATCACTAATCAGACCTACTAGGCATGGACTCAGGGGCCCAACACATGGGGAGGCCCCTGGTACAGGCAGCCAGAGAACAGCTGCTCCTTTAACACAGATTCGGAGGTTCTGATTCTGTAAATCGTCCATCTACTGTAGGTTTTGGTTTAAAACATTCAGACTTTAGATGTGTGAAAGTATCCAAAGTTCTAAATCACATCATCATCAGCATCATCATGATCCTCTACTTTAAAAAAAATATATTTTATCATTTATTTATATTGTAAAATCTGAATTTTAACAATTGAATGATATTTTTGCTTTAATCTAAAAACAAATATTGTCAAACAATAACAGATAATATGTTCATTCTCCATAATTGTATCATTAAAAAGATCTTGTTCGAACAACAGAAATCCATTTTTTTTAAATGTCATTGTATGATATTTATAAAGATATGTTTTTGTTTTTAAGTCATAACTCCCAATTTCAGAAATTTACTCTCATGTCTATTTTTTTTTCTCTGGAACAATGTAAATTAAATTGTACAAAGCTACATCTCAGCCACACCTGCCCCTGAAAATGCATAAATAACTTAACTGCTGAATTTACTTATAAACATTTAGTTATTTAACTAATATTTTAATGTCATGCGATACATTTTATTGAATTCTTTAAGTAATTAATCCTTTTAGCCTGGCTGCTTAGGTTTAACCCAGAAATCAGAGAACAGTCAGATGTTTATCTAAGTCTGTTTTGATGAGAATGACATTTTGTTATTGTGTAAAATAGATTTTATATAAAACCTCTCTTCATATTGCCAGCAGAGCCAAAGAGTGGTGCTTAAGGGCTCTTTGCGTCGGCCCTTTGGCTTTCTTTACTTCCAGTGAATTAGTCTAATGTGATTTGTTTGATCTCAGAGGTTGAATTAAAACTATTAGCTGAAAAGGTGCAGAGTTAAGGTGACCATTTGGTTTTGGTGGAACATGTCTCTCTCAGACCTCTTTAATTAAATTAAATCTATATTCCGAATGACCCCTGCAGGAT